GATGGGTACACGTCTAAATAAAACCGGACCCCACCCAGTGGCCAGTCGTCCGGGTTCTGAGCTATATCCACTTTGAAAACAGTAAACTTGGCTCGCGTGTTGTCCCCCGTATCCGCCCAGAGGGTATTGTGGGTGGGAATGTGGGTTTGACCTGCTCGAGTAGCATCGGGTTCGAGAAAGCCCATGAACAAGGCCAAGGATTCGGCAATCTCGTAGACGTCTATGGCCCACAGGTCGATAGCGTAATGGGTGGAGGGTTTGCTGGGACTTGTCGTGAGGGTCCAAATGTCCACGACCTTATCCACACCCATCAGCGTGGTGTTGGCTTCGTTGATGTAAGTCTTGATCTCCAAAAAGGTGCTGGGTAAAGTTTTCATGGTTCGCCAACCAGCCATCAACTAGATCGCGTCGAAAATAATCCAGTTTAGGCCTCTGGGTTTGATCGCACCCATGGATCGTGCTCCGAGTAGTCTGCATGAACAATTGTCCATGATGATGGGGTCTCCCGACAAAGTGGGCATGACGAACAAACCCAGTTGTTGAATCAGCTCTTACAACACTTGCTCGAAGTGGGTAAACTGCGGTGGGCGATTTCAACACGGCATTGCTGAACGAGTGCGTGTAGTACATACTGAACAAGGCCACCTGCCAGTCGGGCGATAAGGACAAGGGAATTTCTAACTCCTGTCTAAAGGCCGAGCGCACGGTGGTCACGCCGGGTTCCATGGGGTGGGTCCCTCGATCGCCACTGTTCAGATACATGACGAAATTGTAGTCGGCTTTCCAGGGTTTACTCATACTGCTTCATATCTCGGGTGGGAATCCAGGTCTGGTAATCTGGGGCCACGCTCTGCCAAGTCACCAACACTTGTCGTCTCGGTCCTCGCTCTTTGTATTTAAGCTTTTTGGCCACGCGCCAACGGTTTGGCAAGCCTTTCACCTTTCGCAGTTGAGGCTCGTAAAAACAACCCTTCATTCGCCGGCCTGGCCAATCTTCCAACTGATAGTAATTGACACCGTTCTACAACGAGCGAGCCCGGTCCGTCACCGTGCACACGCCCCGCGACCACACGCCCTTGGCGCTCTTGACTCCGAAGGCCCCTCGCCTCTTGTCTTTTCCCAGCAACTTAGAAGTTCTCACGAAATCACCCGGTCAAAAGCTGTAAGGGTTGGAGGGTACGGTGGGCTTGAACAACCGTCGCCAGACCATGTCGATGCTGGAATGAATGCGTTGGTTGTAGCGGGCCAACAGCTGGGGTAAGGCGTCCAGGTACTTCAGGGTGTTGTGGGCGGTCATGTACTTGTCAGTGAGTTCCTTGAACGTGCGATTAAACCATTCGGCCGCGGCAGCCTTCGGTTCCCCCTGTGTGGAATAGTGATGGATGCCATACTGGTCCAGCAACCGTTTCACGTGTTGGTTGTAATACTCTTTACCCTGATCGGTCTGCAACTTGACGGGCCGGCGATGAGTCGGTTCGTTTTCCAGCAAATGGGCAATGTATCGCGCACGGCCGTGCCCCGTTTACTCTTCAAGCCCACCACCCAGGCATACTTGCTCAAAACGTCGATAACGGTGAGCAGGTAGCGTTCGATGATTGTTTTGGACCAGTTGTGGGTCCTGCATTTCCACCAGATCAGCTTGCCAGGTATGATCGACGGAAGGGCCGACCACCGTCTTGCTACGGGGAAAGCGTCGACGCTGCGGGCGGTGCAGGGTGAAGGTGGGTTCACCGCGCAAGTAGGTTTGAGCGGTTGGTCGAGGCACGCCCAGCGCTCGGGCGGCACCCAACAGTTCTTGGACATTGCCGCTCAAGGCGTAAGGACTGTCTTCGTCCAAAAACAGCCCCTCTAAGGTACTACTATCCTTCTTCATGATCAGACAGAGAAAAAATAACACTACTACTTCAAAAAAGATCTAGACACTCTATTTATTATTTTTTATAGCTCAACAACAGCGTTACAATTATCGTCATTGGACACACGATGGCTGAGCATCCTCCTTCAAGGGAACGTGTGACGCATTCGACATAGGTGGACGAGAACATCCGGAGGCAGAAGACAGACCCTCAAGGCTCTCAGTAATAAAAACGACAGTGATACTTTTGCATGCATCGATCGGAGATGGCTGGCGAGAATTCGCTGATGGTATCGTCGAAAGTCTGCATCTCGACCACAAAACTGTCCTCGTCGAATGGGATGCCTCGTGCGTAGGTTCGGAACTCGGTCAAGATCTTGGCATACGTGGTGTAGGCAAATTGGCACCTGTCCACCTTGATGGGAAATTTCTTGAAATCGTTCCATCCTTTGAGCACGGTTCCCCAGCCGGCCAGTCAACTCACTACAATGGTATTCTCGCAGATGAAACCGGCAATCATGCCCGCCGCCACCACCAGCAAGGCCACCCCGTTGAGGAGCGCCTGGCGAAGCTTAAAGACGCGGTACATATGACTGTAACACGACCATTGGCGATGGTAGAAGGCACAGAGCGAATCCAAAGTCTGCAACACGTCAGGCTTCAATGACAGGGCACCCGCTTTCAAGCACAATCCCTCCAAGAGCGAAACGGCCTCTGGGCACATGGCGGGTTCTCCTCCTTTCTTTTTTTCTCTACATGACGATTTCCTTATCTAGTGTCTGCTGGTGCTGTGAGAGAGGGACTCGATCGTGGCTCTGTTCTTCTTCCAAGGGAACAGAGAACACCGCTTGGGCGGGGATCTTCTTAAGTCCTCGTTCGGCGGAGGGAGCGGTCGACGAAGCCACTCTCTTGCTACCTTTTTTTCCTTTTTTGCCTTTAGCTAGCAATGGGCTACATAGCTCTACGGTCGATGCTAATCCAACTTTTTGTCGGAAAAAGGACAACTCGTTCCTGGCTTGTTGCACCGTCACCACCGCTTTGGATAAACCGCCGATGCAACTGTGGTGACAGCGCGCGCAGCCCAAAAAAAAAAACACACACACACACACACACTAGGGTTACACATAGCCTTCAATCGCCACCCACACTTAGGGTTATCACGTTGACTTAGCCTTACATAGGTTTACATCGCCACCCCCACTTAGGGTTCTACAGCCTCCAAAAGGTCATTCAAACTAGGGTTATGCGCTGCTTCAGCGCTTAGGGTTATGCGTTGCTTCCACATACTTAGGGTTATAGTGGTCAGCAAACGTGCACGCAAGCGCGGGGTCAAAGGTCATTGCATTGGGGGTGCAGTGGGCGTCGGTTTTACCACATGATCGTGTGGTGAAAAGTGGTTAAGCGAGACTGTGACGTCATTTTCTCTCGAGGTTTTATTGGCGGCCATCTTGGAAGGGGAAGTAGAGGGGTATATTCCGGAACCTGCCATACTACTGGTATCTATCAGTTCTCCCGACCTGTTTACAAGATCACAAATTGATATTTTAAGCAGGGTTTGAACCCTTTTTCAAAGAAAGAATCCTGGAGGAATATGCCAGGGCTCAGATTGATTTTTCCAGGACTCCAGTTTTCATCTTAGACTCTTTCATTCCCAAGATTTCAAAATCAATTCCCCTTACAGTAGAGTCTACATACATTTCTTATGACCTAAATTCTGGAAACTTTATTGCTTGAGTGAACCAAAACAGTGTTAATTAGAGAAAGGTAGTTCATTTGAATAAGGAAATTAATCACCAAAAACCTGATTTGTAATATCAAGATTCAAGCGTGAAATTGATCACGATATACGGTAGTTATTTTAGGTTATTCTCCAAGGATACTATTGGTTGACAAATAAATAAGATTAAAAAAAATTGTACATGGCATTTATGATAGTTAAAAATAGCGATTTTACAAACTGGATAAATGCACCCTTTTATAAAAGAATAGTCAATCTGGATTTTAATTGGGAATAGTATTGAAAGTAGAATTTCTGTGGCAACCCATCATTCAGTTGGCTTTGAAACCGGTTCCAATCTCTGGTCGTTACGATAATTACACGAAAAAAAATTAAATCGTATGAAAATCGGGCTGTATAGGGAGAATTTTAATTCATGATATTTTTCCTTCAAAGTAGAAATTATCGTATAAAGATAAGTGAGACGCAAGTAAAATCATTGACAAAAAGTGGGGATTTCACTGGGCGAAACGCGTATAGGTCTGAGTGAAACGTTTCATGGACGAAACTCGTTCTGGGCGAAATCCGTGGGTTGAACCTCGAAAGAAGAACTGATCTAGGTCAACGAAGAGGATATTTCAATTAAATTCAGAAATTCACAGTACTGCAGCATTTTTTTGTAAACAATATTTTACATCAGCAGATTGATAAGTTGTTTCATTATTTTTGAACGACCATTTGCAAATTCTGAGACCGTCACTTTTAAAATGAGATCAAGGGAAAACCTTAAGAATGAGAGCAACATTTGTGTCATGACGAAGGGCCAACATTCGAAACGTCACCTTTGAAACTCTTTACTGTGGCCAATTTACATTTATCAACTCAGTTGATAAAACCAAAATTATCTCAGAAATGGTCTGTCCTTAGCAATGAATATCGGGAGATACTGGCCAAGAGGATTGGGTTCTAGCTCATCCGGGCCATCACGATGTGTTCCGAAGCAAGACACTCTTCTCTTACAACGTCTATCTAGATCAAAAAGTAAAAAGTTGTCGCTGATGGGTAACCGGAGATGGGTCACGAGTACTAAGGGGGATTTGGGAGGAGGCGTAATTGAGGTGGAATCTTCATGACAAATACCTTTCCGAGCGCTACATTTTAGGACGCTTTTGATCTACCTGTAAACAGACGGGAATCTGTTTCTTAAATTGACATCACACATCATGCACGTAGCATCTCCAATTTGTGACGTAAAGGAAAGTTTTGATTTTTTTGTTGCTGTTGCTACCGTTGCTATTGCGAATCTATTTTTTTCGATAAATCTTCATTCAAATTATGGGACTTTCTTGAAGCCCTAGAAGACGAAAGAACCAGTGCGGAAAACACCATCATCTTTCTGCAAGACTCAGATTCCGACGGAGAGTGACACAGATGACTCCAGATACGGACAACTAACTGTACGAAGGAGCCAAGGTTTCCTGAAATGGCGCATTGAGTACTCCAAAAAAAGCCACTAAGTTAAACGTCAAGCGCAGTAACTAGGCATGTCCCCTTTATGGTAGCGCGTTCATTCTATCTCATTAGAAGGGTGCTCTTATATTTGCATTTTGAAGCGTGTGTGACTCGGCTTCTCGGTGTCTGACTACCACTTCTCACTGCTGTAATAAATTAGCGTGAAAAGATAATGATTGAGATGTAAGCGTATGGCTTTGACCAGTGTGAATTATGGTTCCTTTAGCGTGTGTTGATTTAATTCTACCTAAACAATGTTGTGAATTCGCGTAAACAGATGTCTCAGGTGAATGCGTTTCGCAAAGTCAATCCTTAGTAACGCAATAGAGCACTCTCTTTTTAATCTTCAATTGACGTTGGAACTTTGATACCCATTTCAAAAGTCGCCATTTGTCTTTATCATCGGGTAAGTGTGCTCTCGAAGGAGATATATATTTATATTTTTTCATTTTCATTTCCTGCCCTTGGTTAAGTGAATTGATAACTGGCTTTTGCCAGGAAGAGTTGTGAACTTACTGTGTGGGAATCAGTGTATGATACAAAAAGAAGCGAAGATTGTAATCTCAAATTTTGTGGATCAACATCTCATCGAAACAACTGCACGTTTAATTATTGGCGCTGCAGAACGCTCTTCTCCGCCCTCAGAAGTATACGAGACAGGTCGGGGAGAGGTTGCGAGGGGTCTGGCACCAAAAATGCCTCATTGTCAGTGCTAGATCCCTGCACAGACCTTTCGCCGGCTCACTTTACCTCATACTTTGAAAATTACGGATTACATTCCACGCTCGATGGAAAATTGCTCTAATAAACTGGTAAAAGACACAGGTAAACCACTATGGAAGAATAACAGAAAACTAATCTCATTATTATGCAAAAACTCAGTATTTATTCTACGTTGCTCGTAGTTTTTCGGGTGCTCAACGGGAATAAAGACGTTACCGCTGCGAAAAAAAGAGGCGGAGCTTGCGAGTGACGGGCACAGCGTAAACAACAGCCATCCACGCAAGCTATTAGTGTCCCTCTATTAACAAGTCTTGCGGTTCTATTAAAACTCTTGGCCAATGACAGTTCAACAGTCAGTCAGACACAATAGCATTGATAAAACCCTCCAGACTAGTAATAAAAATAATAAACAAAAACACGGGTATTTTTAAAGTAAAGTGGCAGAGAAGTTCTAAATCTAAGATCATGATTTATATTAAATTCATCAGGTCTTGTCACGCATAACATTGTCCGCGCGTGACACGGTCTTGTCATGCAACGCATAACGAATGCAGGAGGAAACGTGACAAGACCAAACAATGGCTTCTCAAGTGGCTGCCACAATGGATGTGTAGGTACTTGTACAGGTTGAGTAAATAGGTCATCTTTTTTGTCGACGAAAATAATAATAATAATAGTAATAAAAAGGAACAAGGATGGTTAAAATGGGGACTATTAACTATTACTTCAAGGTGTTGAAATAAACTAGCTTCTTTGAAGTTTATCCCGTCGATCCAGGTAGATTCCCTGCGCAACTGAGAGTTCTCAATACAAATTGTCCCTTTGGTATTGATCCTTTCACGTTTATACTTTGGAAAGTCATGTACTGAGGAGGACCTCCTTGATAGCAGCGGAAAGAATTCTCTTTTCAACACGTACCTCAGTGCATTTACAAAGGCGTGACTGATTACAACTACGAATGCAAAGACAAACTAGGGAATGGCTCTTAGAGTGTGAGCTGAAGCAATTTTCCTAGAGTACTACTATTATCTACTGGTTAATAAATAATATAATTTAACCAAGCGAGGTTCGCCGAAAACCAGGCGTGGCCGGAAATGGAACTGTTTAAGTTAATTGGCAACTATTTATTTAGAACATGCATTTGAAAGTTATTAAAATATGTCCGCGCGTGACACTAGCGTTTGAAATCTGTTTGGGTAGACGCTACGCACTCATTCGGCAAAAACGTTTTTCCAGAATACTATTGAGCTAATCCAGGACTGGGGTGGACTTTTACCTTGGTTTTGAACTTCTTGATTATGCGATTGATTAAAAAAAAAAGCAAACAAACAAACAAATAAATTTGTTCTCTGGATACAAATTTCTCATGTTAAAAAATGCGTTAAAGAAATTATAGTACACTGGATTAATTTGATCTTCTGGCTTCAATACTCGTCTTGTAATCATATCCCAAGGCATCACATTTATTCTGTAAAAGAACATGGAAGGTTCATATGTATTCGTCTACCCAAACAATCTCAGATTCTCTCACACGCGACTCTCGTTCCCAGTATCTCTAAATTCTATTTATTTTAACACTCGCATTTGCGTTAAGAAGTCTCGGTCGGAGGGTGCAAGGAGTGACAGTCAGTGGACATGTATCTCATGTCACGTGTTCGGGTGAGAAAGCATGTCCCACGTGCTGAGCCATTTC